ATAACTAAACATGAGCATAAATTACTCCATAGAAAATGGCACCAACAGGCACATTATGTAAATGTTTCTTCTTGGTAAGTATTTATCCACTCTTTAATACTCATTGACAAGGAACAGATGAATTTTGCGTTTATATAGCTCGTTTTGCCAGTTTAAAAAGGTTGGAATAAACATGTTGTAACGGGTGTTGGAGAGGCTAGCAGGGTTAGCCGTTAGCTCAGAGAGTCGACAGACGAAGTTGGGATTTTCACACGTTATTTTAATTAACAGTAGTCTAGTATTCAACATCGACCTTATAATAACAGGTCTCCACTGTGCTACATTCACTGCTCATACATGAGCAGTAAAATGTAGACGGCTCAACCGTCACCTTCTTGTTACTAAGTCTTAGGCTAAGAACAACATGGCGGACAAGATGGCGGCTGCCTGTTCACTGTACCGAAAAAAAGGTAACGCCACCTTGTGGCGGTATTCGGTATCGCAGTAACACATCTAGACTGGCTGTTCCAATGTGCACCAGCAACATGGATGATATCTAAATAAAATTACTGTTTTTTTTTATATCTACATTTTTAACTCATTGACTGCCAGCCATTTTCAGAACAGAGAGTCGCTCACTGCCAGAGTTTTTTGAGAATTTTGACAGATTTTTCAAGAGCCACAGAATAGTTTGTGCTTTGACTATGTAAACACCAAACACACCAAAAGAAAGAGGAGACTCTCTTCTATCATCAGGAAAAAAATTTTTGTTTCTACCTTATTCCGTTCTTCTTCGACGTGCGTCTCACCGGCGCCATTTCTCTCATAGCGAACCATTGCGTTTGTTTTTATTTGCTTACAATCTATGCTAATCTCCCATCAAAAGTGGCACAGCTACCTAGAGGGTAAATTTGTTACTACATACTCTGTCTAGAAGCCGATATTTACGGAAAAACTTTCGCCGATCGTCCCCCAAGTCACTCGCAATTGAAAAACATAAAAGACGTCTATAGACGTCTTTGGCAGCGAACGGTCGGATTTGAAAAGACGTCTATAGACGTCTTTGGCAGCGAATAAGTTAATGAATATTTCCTGTGTGGAATATTAGGTCCACATCTGGAAAATAGATTTTTTTTTACACATTTTTGAGTATTTTGGTTTGGATGTTCTTGGTAAGTATTTCTCCACTCTAATAATCTTTCACAAGGAACAGATTAATCTGGTGTTTATAAAACTTGTTTTGCCAGTTTAAAAAGGTTGGAATAAACATGTGCAACAGCAACAACTCTGACCACCTCAAACTTTGATTTTTCTCTTTCAGGTAACATAAAGCTGTCTGCTCTGGTTCCAGTGGTCCTGGTGGAGGTTTGGCTGTGAACCAGTCGGTGTTCAGTCTCTGCTTTGGACGGTCAGCTGGTTCTAACGGTGCTGGTCCTGGTTCTGTGGATTCTGGAGGTCAGAAGGTCTCTGATAGCTGTTAGAAATGGCTTTATTGCACCTTTTCTCCAACCAATGGCTGCTCTG